AAGCATTCCCAGCCAGGTATAACATTCATTTCCAAAAAAGAAAAAAACATTTAGACAAAGTTGACATAACCTCTTTATGTAATATTAGCTTAAACATTTTAATCTTTAAGGTATTATCAACCTGAGTAGCCTAACTGTTGCCCCAAATAATTGTTGATCAGGTTCTCATTGTGATTTCTGCCATCTGGCTTTTTAAATTTTTTCAAACTGGGGTGAATAGAACAGGCTTGTCTTAGGTTCTTTAATGTGGGGGGAGGGGAGGCAGTAGGAGGTCCTTTAGCACACCAAGCCTTAGGCAGTGTTTTATTAAAACCCTTTGTTTTAACTTCATTCCTGTCTGTTCTATTTATCCCATTTTCCTTGTATTTTATTTTATTAATAACTGGCTAAAGATTTCCGTCCTGTTGGGGTGAGTCCTGTGACTCTTCTCTTTTAGATTTCTGTGCTTTCACTTTAATATTTGTCTTATTTACCTTTTTTCTTCTTATTTTAAAAAAAAACTCCTTTAAAAATTTCCGCCTTGTTGAAGAGTCCCTTTATCTTTCCTCAGCTTCCCTTTGCTCTTTTGCCGACATTGTCATCAGCATCTGTAAGACCCTGAGAAGAAGCTGAGACCCCAAATTTGATTATGTTCTTAAGACTAGTCATTGTATTTTCCTTTTAATTTGGTATTTTCATAGGTACCAATAAAATAGCTGTTTATGATGAGAGCTCTCTAAAAATTTTTCTAACTTAAAGATCCATTGTTTGGCCATTTTTTCCTCTGGAGTCTAAAGAATATTATGGCCTCGTGGTGTTACAAAAGAAAATCATCTCTTTTGAGACATTGCCTTATAACTATAATTAGACTATTCAGCTAGAATGTGGCCCAAGTGGCTCTCAGAAGGTATAGATGTAGCACCCCCCATCCTTAAGACTAAAAAAATGTAACAAAAGACACAGACAACTAAACTATACCCAACAAGGACAAACCAACTCCTTTCTGGGAAATGGCTCACAGTAACACAAATAGACAAGCAACAAAAAGAAGACAATGAATGCCAAGGAGATCCACCAGCACATTTGGACCACAAAAACCAAGGCCAACAATCTAAATGGGAGCCAGCAACCCTGAAGACAAACGGGGAATTGAACTATGCAAAAATTCCCCTGCCCCACTTAACTGTGACTTCCACACTGACTGGCGCCACAAATGCTCCTTATGGAGCTCAAAAGGAGGAAACCTCAACAGCGCAGAATCAAGAATCTTGGTGTGCATGCTGGGGAGGTCTTACCAAACTGGCCAAGGTTTCCAAAAACCATTTCTTTTCCTCAAGAATGTAGAACAGCAGTGACCATGTCCCCACGGCAAGAGAAAAGGAGTTTCCCCAGAGTGAAAAGAGCTCTGGCAGCCACTGGAACCATCCAGTTCTCCCTTGGGGAGGTGGCTCTCCGCTGGACCTCCTGGCTGGCTCGTCAATGTCTGTCTTTTTTTGTGTGTGTGTGTAAGATCAGCCCTGAGCTAACATCCATGCCAATCCTCTTCTTTTTGCTGAGGCAGACCAGCCCTGAGCTAACATCTATTGCTAACCCTCCTCTTTTTTCTCCCCAAAGCCCCAGTAGATAGTTGTACGTGTCGGAGATCAAGATTTGGCCACCCTGAAATCTATCTCTTTACCTTGGTTGTTTTCTCTGAAGGACATTTGACCTCCCCCACTAACTGCCTAAAGAATTTGACATGGTGGCTCCTTCCTAGAACAGATCTATCATGACTGCTATAAAGATAATGTAGGATAGAGGTTACAATAGAAAAGGCACCAACAAGCCCATCTTATCAGGAGTTCTGTCTCTCTGGCCACATTCTTTGGATGGCCCTGCGAGGAGTTGCCAGACAGTCATTTACAAGGGAAGTCTCCATTTGTAAAGGCATCTCCCTCTCTGTATTGGGAAGAGAGGGGATGAGCTCATTTCTAGAGACTTATCAATGTGGAAGGTGAGGCCTTGGGGCTGCATAATAAACCTTACTCTTGTTTACTGTGCTTTAGTGGTAATCTCCTGTAACTGACTCCCCCCACCCCCAAAATCCTCCTTTGTCATTGGCTGAAAAAGATATTTAAGACGAGAATTTCTGCTATTGTGTTGAGAAACGCAGTGTCCCTGCTTTCTCCCATGTATACATGTTATTAAACATGGTAATATTTTCTCCTGCTAACCTGTCTTGTTAATTATTTGGCCAGCCAGAAGAACCTTAAGGGAAAGGGCAGAGGGAGATTCTCCCTCTTCTCCCGTCATACGTCATAGTTGCACATCCTTCTAGTTGCTGTATGTGGGACACCACCTCAGCATGGCCCCACAAGCGGTGTGTCAGTGCGCACCTGGGATCTGAACCCGGGCCGCCAGTAGCAGAGCTCGTGCACTTAATCGCTAAGCCACGGGGCCGGCCCTGGCTCACCAATTTCTGTTGCCAGAAAAATTACTCTTTCTTTTCCTCAATCCCTTGTCATTGTGTTCATTGATTCCGCTACCGGGACAAGGTCCCAGTTTTCTGGCTTTATAGGTCTCCCCATTGCATCATACGCTCTTCAAGGGCAGGGGCCTCGTTTTACTCATTTTGAATCCCAGTACCTGGCCCAGGATCTGACCTGGAGTAGGCACACTGCAAATTCTTACTGAATGGATGATGCAGGTTAACTATTCATTTTTCCCTTACGGGAGTTGACTTAAGCTACACCAAATGTTATGAAGGAAAACTTCTAGGTCATAAAACTAGTAAAATCCTAGAACTGTGGTTCTCAAGTGTTTGGCTATGGAAACATAATGTGTTATGAACTCTTCTCAAGAAAGAGTTGGATAAATACTTAAAAGACATTTTTGTTATAACAGAGGGTATTTTGCCCGCGGCCCCATTCTTTCGTCCCACATGTCCAGGACTTCTACCTCCTTCCTGCTCCACTGACATCACCCATTTTCCCACCTGGAGTGTCTCCCAGGTGGCTTTGAAATGACAGGCAGGTTCCCTCCACTTCCTTCTTCCTGGTGTCTTCTGAACAAAAAGCTTACAGGCCCTTGTTATGTTAGGATCTTTGCTGCTAACCACAGGGGAGAAAGCCCGGGTCACCAAAACCACAAAAACGGAGAAGCTGTGCCGCTGGGAAAATCTCACCCAGGTCTCAAGAAGGATGATCCTGGTCTGAGCTGAGCTATCGATGGGGCTTGCTCCATGGTCTCCCGGCAGGAGCCCTCCCTGCCACCATTCCCACAGAGGCCTGGAAAGTCACTCCTTGTTCCTCATCTAGTCTTCCCACTCTTGGATACCTGGTGACTCCTGTTTGTATTGCAAGACTCCGTTGAGGTGTCTCCTTCTCTGACAACCTGCCTCTGCCATCTGATTTACATGCTTTTCCTGTATGTTCCCATAGCAGGTTGTATTAATACTTACTACCCCTTGTGGTAATTGTCACCATGCAGGTCTGTCTCTAAGTCTAGGCAGTGTGCTTCTGTGGGGGAAGGACACTTTTTACCTTCTTCTTCCTTGCAGATGTTTAGTCTTCCTACCCCCACTTTTCTCTGCTGTGCTCAAGGCAGACATTACTAATCTATCATGGCACTGTTTTTTGATGATCCCAGACCGGCTCCATAATCATGCTCAGTCCAGCACTCCAGGGACCAAACAATCATAAGCCCCTGTGAGAGGAATCCAGTGTGCCGTCTGGTCCTAGGCATTCCCAGCAGATGTGTACCCCTGTTCTCTTGTCTCTGATACTTGTCAATTGTTGGACCGACAGTGGAAGAATGAAAAACAATGAGGCTATCCTGCAGAAATGGGCCTCTTCTTGTCAAGGGGAGAAGAGGAACTTGGGAATAACAGGAAGAGTTGTAGGATTAAAAAAGAAACCCAAAGTTGAGTATCACTTTCATTTGGATGAAGACAGATGCAGACGTCCAGCCCTAAATCCTGGTTGGTGGCACGGGTTCGTGGTATCCTTCCAGAATGAAGCACCAGGAGACTATGGGTTAACAGCTCATGTCAAGGAAGTCCAGGTGTCATCTGACAGCCTCAGTTTCTCGGCTGAGAGGCAGGACACCGCTCATCCAGGCCAGGATAAGAGGCAAGTCCTGCAAAGCCATATGCTTCTAACCAAGAGTTACTGCCACCAAGAGCAGCTGGATAAAAATAAATGACAGGCAACATTCTTGGTAGATTATGGGGGGTTACCAGATTCTGGTGATAAAGACTGGGGGTCCCAAAGGGCAAAATGATATCTACAGAACGAATCCACGGAGAGGGATTGTGTGCAAGGTAGGAGGAGGTCGGGGGCAGGTTCTGTGGGTTTGCCAAGCTCCCGGCATCATACAATGTGAATGCGAAGGGCAAGAAATCAGAGCCTGTGAAATGGTTGGAGGTGGTTCAGTTGAGGTCACATGTCTCTCAGCTCCTGTACTGTGGAATGAGTGTGAAATCCAGAAGATGGGGGCCCAAATTGGGACGGGCCCACAGAATGCACGGACTCATCCCTCATGCCTTTGACTCTCCAGTCATGCCTGCACTAATGCCATCCTCGTTTCTCCAAGGCAAGGGGCCAACGAGAGCGTGCCCTGCCAGGACAAATCATTCCACAGAGGTGCTTTTCTGCTTGGCACCATGTCCTGTATTTGCCCACATCCTGCTCTGCCCCTAACCTTGGGGCTGACTTCCCACAAGTTAATTCAAATTCTCCAAGATTAAAATGAAGCCTATATTCAGGGAGCACTTGTGAATCTTCAAGGTTGACCTAGAAGACAGCTGGAAATTGTATCACTAATGTCAGTGTTTTTGCAGTTGGGACTAGCCAGATGGTTCATACGACAATTAATCAAACACACATAAGCTGTTCCCACAGATTAGCTATCAACTGTTATCAAAGTCTCTCACTTTGTTTATATTGATTTATGACAGCAATAGAATATACCACCCCAGAGAACACGCCTCCTTCCGGCTAGGAAACTATAAATGTCAAGAATTTTTTTTCAAATTTAGAAGAACCCAGCAAAATGGGGATCTCCATGGTCATCCTTGAAATATGTCTTTTATTGGGTCAAGTTCTATTTACAGGTATTGTATCTAATTATTATATTCATTAACTTCAAATTAGATCTAATTTTTCTTTGATGCTAGACATTCTATCTCAAGGGGAGTTTTGTATCAAGAAGAGGCAATTCTTTGTTAATAATTGTAATTGCACGTATTTAGAAGGAATGGCTCTTTTTTATTTTGTTTCTCGCTGAGAAATATAATAGGTGCAGTTAGAAAAAGCCAATCATTATGACAGTGTTGTCAGTGAGTTACTCAACTAAAGAAATGATTGACTGGTCTTAGAAAAATTCTTGAAGTTAAAGGGAAATGTATGTATATTATGAAGAGGCCCTAAAACTTGGCCATAATTGGTTAAGCGTATAGTTTGTGTACTATAAAACTGGGCAGAAAAGATGGCCCCTGTAAATGCTCATTATGTGACTTCTTTCTGCAGGTGTATCTGGCTTGATAATTAATACATACTGACCCAAATCAGGTCAAGTAGCTGAGCACAGACAAGATCATAAAGATTCCAAGTTTGTGTCTGTCACTCACTGCTTTAGAGAAACCATTTGAATCTCGGTAACTCAAGCGTATCCTTGTGTTCTCAGAGTGCAAGGGATAAAATGTCCACGAAAGAGCCAGAGGCAAATCAGTGTGAATCTCAATGTCATTTACCGAGATACCAAATGAACAGGACAATTAGCCAGTCTGCCTGTTATCTCTGTCTGTATGTCTGTCTGATTGTCTGTCTCTCATCTATCTGGCATCTATCATCTCTCTTCCTCCTTTCCTTCCTCCCTCTCTCTCTCCCTCTGTTCCTCTTTTTTCTCTAACTTCCCTTCCCTCTTTCTCTCTCTCCCTCCTTCCCTTCATTCATTTCTTCCTTCCTTCTTCTCTTCCACTCGCCCCAGCTTTTCCTTTGGTGTCACCTTTTGCTGCATTCACGAATTTCAGAAGACAGGACAGAAGTATCCTAATTTCCAGATAACTTCCAGAACTCTCACTCCCACCCCCAGGCTTCGTAGGGGAAACTCTGAAGATAAAAGTTCATTTGGGAAATTGCTTTCATAGAAGCAGGACCCCCAAACCAAGCCCTCGCAGCCCCGGTGATGGGGAGCAGGCCTGCATTGTGTGTTGTGTGTGTGCGTCATGGTGACACTGGTCTCCCCACCTTCCCTTCTTGTCAGGAGGACGTCAGCAGGTACTGGCTGGGTGGTCTGGGGGCTGGAGATTGTGTCTCCATCAAAATATTAGAAAATGAGAGGTAGTGTTCTTAGCTCCAGCTTTAGAAAGATAATCCCGGCCTCACACTGGCTCTGAGAAGTGACCTGGGGCTCATGTCAGCCCCTAAAGGACAGGGAGCGGACTGCCCCATCCTTATCTACAACGGGGCTTAAGGCAGCGGTGCTCTCGGCTTGAGGGAACTTGTGGTTTCACCATGATGTTATGTGCATGGGCATTCACAGACATGCACGCGAGCACACGTGTGCCTGTGTTTGCAGTGTAGAGGTGCGACTTCACCCTCTGCAGAGTGCTTACTGTGTACCAGGTACTCTCCCGGACAGTGTACCTGTGTTCAATTGTCTAGATGTGCTAACAAGCCCAGAGTCAGGTATCATTACTTCCACATTGCAGGTGAGGCAACTGAGGCTCAGAGAGGTTACGTGGCTTGTCCGAGGTCAGCAGCTGGTGAGCAGCTGGGCCATGATCTGAACCTGGAGGAGGTCCGCTGGCGGTTGGTAGCAGTTTTGGCCATTAACCCTCGCTGTTCCTCGCAGAGAGCGGAGGAGCTGAACTGTGGGGTTTGGCTCAGCACTGGAGCCCCTGGTGGAGCTCTGTGCTGGGAGAACCTCAGCAGCAGGCACGCTTCTCAGCTCTGCTCTTTGCACAAACTCTTGAGAAAAAGGCAGTGCACCCAGGCTTGTGCTGGGCAGGAGGGGCCATGGAACCCCTGTTGCTCTCAGCCATGTCTTTGGCTCTGCCATTTACCAGCTCTGGGGCCTCTGCAAGCCTCAGTTTACTCATTTGTAAAAAGGGGTTATGTTCCAACCTCATAAGGTTGTACAGAAATGAAGTCACCCAGTGTCTGGCACACAGAGGGTGCCCAGGAATGGGTCATTGTTACTCTTCTGGTATTTTCCCAATGTTTTACCCTAACATAACTTCCTAAATGCAAGGTGGTACCTTGGATTGGACCCTTACAGAAAAATGAAAAAACTGGTGAAATCCAAATAAAGCCTGGAGTTTAGTTAACAGGAATGGGCCAGTGTTGGTTTGGTAGTCGTGACAAATGCACCATGGTAATGTAAGATGTTAGCATTTGGGGAAATGGGGTGAGGGGTGTATGGGGACTCTCTGAGGATTAGTACTAGCTCTGCAACTTAAAACTCGATCAAGTTATTCCAAAAAATTTTTTTAACTTAACTTCGCTTGGTGCCATTTCTTTAAGGCCAATGTTTCACAAAATGAGAAAGTAATAATTGCTTACAAACTAATTCCTAGCAAATTGTTCATTCTCATGCTTACCCTTCCCACAGTTTATCAGGGGTTTTGGCAATGACTAGTGCCCTAAAATAAAGGAGAAAATCTAACGGAGGGACTTAGGCATTGTGAGAATGTCTTTAATGTCCACCAGGGGGCCAACCACCGCAGCCTGGCATCCCGGCATCCCGGACCCCGCGGCCTCGTGTCTCTCCACACCCTGCCCGGCACACCCACCTGTGCTGCATTTCCCACAAGTCCCATGCTGTTTCCCACCCCCTGATTTTATTTGTTCTGCCTGTTTTCTGGGATCCCTTGCCGCTCACTATCTTGTAGTACAAAGCAACTTCCTGCACTCCAAACCCACCCTCTGGCCGTGGTGATGACACGCGCTGTGCCCTCCACCTGGAACACGGTCATTCTTCCCCTCCCCCACCCGCACCTGGCTGCATCCAGCTGCCATTTTTAAATAGCAGGGACACTGTCCCCTCCAGGAATCTCTCCCTGACATAATCTCTCAACAGGCACACCACACACTGATATATATGTACACACACACAGACACACCCACACACTGATACATACATGCATACACCAACACATACACACACATTGATACATACGTACACACACACAGACACACTCACACGCTGATACATATGTTCACAGACAGACACACCCACACACTGATACATACATACATACACAGACACACACACACTGATACATACGTACACACACACAGACACACCCACACACTGACACATATGTTCACAGACATACAGACACACCCACACACTGATACATACATACATACACAGACACATACACACACACTGATACATACGTCCACACACACACACACACTCTCAATCTGATACATACATACACACACACACAGACACACCCACACACTGATACATACATACACACACACACAGACACACACACAGTGTGTCATTCTGTGGTTCTACTCTCCTTCTCCCATAGCACATTAACTCCTGCACCAAATTATCTGTGGACTTTTCTAGGGATTGTGCTATGCTGGGAGTCCCTGGAGGGCGGGGACCAGGTCTTGTTCACTTAGTACCCAGCACAACACGTTGCACGGCCAAGAGCCTAACTGGGGGCCTGGCTCACACTGAATGTAATGGAACAGCCTGAATCCTGCAGTGCCCGGCTCCAGCCAGGCGCAATGGAGTGTGTGAGCCGTCCAGACTGCCGAGTAACTATGTTCCAGTCTATGACTGGCCGCATATAGGATGGTGGTCCCATAAGATTAGTACCAGACAGCCTAGGTGTGTAGTAGGCTGTACCATCAAGGTGTGTGTAAGTACGCTCTCTGATGTTCACACCAAGACAAAATTGCCTAACTACACATTTCTGAGGATGTATTCCTGTTGTTAAGCAACGTGTGACTGTATATAGTTTATGGGGAGCTGAACACTTTATCAGGAACAGTATTAACCACATCCTCTCCACTACCGCGTATTATTATTTCAGGAGGTTTTGCTTTTTTGACATGTTGGAACAGAATCTCATTGTTTTACCTTGAATTGGGGAGGTGGCACGGCGGAGCTTCGTCCCACACTTCCCTGGGGTCAGTGCACTTGACCTTGGATACGAGCTTCACTACTTGGTGGCTGTGTGACCTTTGACAAGTTGTTCCACCTCTTTGACCTTTGGATTTCTCATCCCTAGAATAGATGTGAGCAATAATTCTACCACAGGGGATTTTATGAAGATTAAATAACATATGACACACACAGCACTTGCTCAATGCCTGGAGAGTGGTAATTCATCAAAAATAATGGTTCCTCCTCTCCTTCTCCATCCCTCTCCCCCTGCCCCACCCCGTCTTCCTCTCTGCTGTCTCTACCATTAGCTTCCTTATCTTTCTTTATCTTCTAGTTTCCTTTCGCCCTTGTTCTTTTCCTTTAGCCTACAACCAAAATTCCTCTCCACCCTGAAGAATCTGCCCCCTGCATCACTTACCACGCCATCTCTCACCTTCAGCTTCCAACCACAGCTTTTTATTCCCCCGAGGAAGATTTGCCCTGAGCTAACATCTGCCACCAATCCTCCTCTATTTTGTATGTGAGCCGCCACCACAGTGTGACCCCTAATAGACGAGTGGTGTAGGGCCAAGCCCGGGAATTGAACCTGGGCTGCCGAAGCAGAGAGTGCTGAACTTAACCACTAGGCCCCTGGGCTGCCCAAACCACGGCTTTTACTGCATAGTTAGTGTAGAAAAGGTGGGAGCTAGAGAAAAATACAGGGAAAAGGTAAAAACACCCACAATTCTATCACCCGAGATTGCCATTGTTAAAACATGTATTTCTTTCAAGTTATATATCTATGTAAGTGATATCATTTAATATACAGTTTTTCTATAATTTATCTTTATATTCTGAGCATTTTAACAGGCCATTCACAATTTTTGGACATTGAAGTTGTTTCAGCTTTTTTCTTTTTTAAAAAAAATTTCAGCTTTATTGACGTATAATTGACAGATAAGATTGTAAGCTATTTAAGGTGTACCTCCTGAGGATTTGATAGATGTCTACATTGTGAAAGGATTCTCCCCACCCCAGTAGTTAACACATCCATCACCTCACGTGTTTATCTTTTTTAATGAGAACATTTAAGTTCTGCTTTCTTAGCAAATTCAATTGTACAATACAGTGTTATCAACTACAGTCACTGTGTTTTACACTAGATCCTGAGACCTTATTCATCTCATTGCTGAAAGTTTGTACCCTTTTATCAACCTCTCCCTGTTTCCTCCTCCCCATTTCAGGTTCTTTCTATAATAGATATAACTATGAAGATCATATTTGCCCAGCGTCTTTGTTCACATTATAGAAATTATTTCCTTTGGCTAGATTCTTAGAAGTGGAATTACTCAGGAAAGGGGTTGATCATTTTTAAGGCTTTTAAAACATATTGATAACTTATTTTCCAGAAACATACCAATTCTTTCCCCTATCATAAAAACCAAGAGTGGCAACTTTCTACAGCTTCACCAGTTCTGAATATTATTGTTCGAAAATCTTGGCTGAATTGCTGGATGAAAAATGGTATACATTTATTTTAATTTGCATTTCTTTGCTTATAGTGAGGGTGAACATTTTTAAGCCCTTTATATTCTTTTTCCTTGAATTGTGTGTTTATGTCCCTTGTCCAACCTCTTTTGAAATTTAGTGTCTTCCTTGTTGATTTATATAAACTCTCTGTGTAATTTGGATATGACTACTTTGCTCATTATATTGAGGACAAATATTTTCCCAGTTTGCTGTTGGCCTTTTAATTTGGATTTTGATTTTTTCTGAAAAATTTTTATATTTTCATGTAATTAAATTTGTTGCTGTTTTCCTGTGAATTTTAGCTCCAGAAACTTCTTACAGAAACCAGATAAATATTTAACTAGTTTCTTATTTCTGCGTGTTTAAAAAGATATCTAGTTTTTCTGAAAATTATTTTGCTTTCTGATGTGAAGTAAATATCTAAAATATTTTTCCTGTATTTTAATTTTTATACTTTATTTTGAATATTTGGGGTTAATAGTAACTTTTTGAATGCCAACTACTATACAAAGCACTCGATGTATTTTTTCTGAGTTTGTCTTCACAATAAACTTACGAAGTAGTTAATGTACCTACAGATGAGAAAACTACGACTGAGTGAGGTTACATGACGCCCAAGTTTAGAGAACAAACAAGTAGCAGGGCTAGAATTTGAACCCACGTCACCCGCCTCCCAAGTGCACAGGTGTG